AGGAATGCGGTGGCGGGGGGGTGCACGTGGGGTGCCTGGTTGTTTGTGAGGGATGGAGAGCGGGGGGGTGGGAGGACATTGCTGCTCACTTAAACCCAGCTGGTCCCCTCCAACCCCGGTGGGGGCAGGGAGGTGGAAAGCCCATTAAAAAAAAACCTGCCGAGCCTGCTGGCACATTCCTTAGGCCCCCAAGTCCTGGGTAAGTGGCCCTAATTATTAAAATCAGCAGTCCTTATCAGATGACAAGGCCTTTTGCTTTGATATACAAAGGCAGAAGCTTAACAACCCCATCTTTCCTTGGAAGAGGAACAAAATGTGCACCTTAACATGCAGCTTTCAAACCTCCTTGCATAATCCCCTTATCGCCTGCCGAAGATATGTATATTGATCCCGGCTGGGAAGTTGGAGTAATGAGAGGCAGCGGGCAGGGGGACCCCCGGGTCCTGTCCCTGCCCCCCCATGTGGTGACCCTGCCATGGTGACCCCGCCACGCTCAGTCACAGCCCATGTCACTGCCCGTGAATTTTTCACACGACCGCTCTTGGGTACTCAGCTCGAACATCCAGGCTGGGCTTTGGGTTTGCTTCTCCAAGTGAAGCCAAAGGTGTTGGTATGGCTAACCCGCACGCCCTTTAATACACCCTGCTGCTCCTGTCCTCGCATCCCGCATCCTCCTCTTCCCCACCCAACTCTACGCACAAAACCACAAGTTGAACCAGTAGTAGGTTCTCCTAAAAACTGAGCCTTTTTATTGTGCCTTTTTATAATGGCAGGAAGATCTTTGTGAGGCCAAGCCTGAGACAGCAGATTTCAGCCCCGTCCATGTCTCCTCTGACGCATGGTGGTCCTGCTCCAGTAGTTCAGGCAGTTCTCTTGTTTCAGGCAACACAGATACCGTAACTTGTATTCCCAAAGGGGCCCTAACTCCTGTCTTCAGAGTAGACTTAAGCATTTATTAGCTGATGCCTCAGTGGCTTTCAGTGGGACTTGAGCTGTGAACTTCTTGATCTTTTGCCTGCTGATGCCAACAGCAAAAGTCCTGCTGACCTCAGAGTGCGGCATCAAGCTTTAAGGACCGAGTTTTTGAAGGTATCAAAGTATGCAGAGGTGCTTCCTGGGATTTTCTAAAGCACATTTCCAATGCTAAAAGCAAGATCTTTAAAGTCAGACTTTGGGTGTGTTTAGACAGTGTGTCCTGGTTGCTGCTGGTCTGAGCAATGGACAGTTAGGTGCTTCTAAAGAGGTTGAGCAGCCAGTGTGCGTGGTTCCCATAAGGAGAGTGCTACCATGAAACTTGTATGTTTTTCTCTAGCCCAAGACTGGCTGGTAACTGGATTCCTGTTTTGCTTGTCCCCAGGTCCTTCAAGAGGAACGATCCCGTTAACCCATACCATGTGAATTCTGGCTATGTTTTTGCCCCAGCAACCAGCGCGAATGATAGCGAAATATCTAGTGATGCCCTGACAGATGACTCCATGTCAATGACGGACAGCAGCGTGTAAGTATCTTGTGTTGGCCGGGTCCTTTTTGGGATGCGTCATCTGTGAATCAGCTGCACCGATGCACCATGGGGGCTTATGGGAGTGATGGGTCCAGGGTCACCACCCTGCTTCTGCTAGCCATTGACTAGGGGCTGCCGAAACTGAGGTGTGCGCCCAAACCGAGAGGTGTAGCAGAGCATGGTAGCCTCATTCTTCGGGCAGTCGCCGGAGGTATCGGATGGAGTAAAATAATGAATCCCTCTATTGCCATTTTGCAGCTGCAGCTGAGCAAACATGTTTTCCCCTATGCTAATGGTGCTGCCTGACTAACCCAAGGAGTGTATCTCCCTGAGCCTTTGTCTTAAGGCCAGGCTTCCTTAACTAGTTATCAGTCATCAAAGAGGAGGAGATTACTTCCTGTAGGAAGTACTTTCTGTAATTAAGGTTTGTCATTAATGTCAGAAGGTACATTAATAGGGCCAGTGACCTGAAGGGGCAAATAGCTGCTCAGCTAGTGTGGCTGGGGCAGTCTTCAAAGAGCCATTTGAATGGAACTGCATGGATCAGGTGTGGGTGTTTCAAGAGTGTAGGGATGAGAGATGATGCTGTGGCTGAGCCCAGGAATTGCAGGTTCTGTCTTTTCCTCCTGACTCTGCTGAGAAGTGTGCAACGAGGAGCAAGTCGTTTGACCGTTCTTCCTCAGTTTGCTTTCCCCAGCGGGAGAGGAATGGTGCTTTTGTGTCTGGGGGTAGAGGAGGCAGTTAGACTCACTTAGTGCTCCGCGGGACCATTTTCTTCAACTGGGCAGAAGGCAGATCTTGCCGTTTGTGTTTCATGATCTTCACTTAAGTACCAGTGCTCTAGAAAAGCCCACCTGTAAACAGAGTGCTGCATTCTTGGTCTTCATCTCCTAGGTGAAACTTGTCCAGTGTCTCTGTCAGACGTGCCCAGTGATTACTGTGTACTCCTTGGAGAGGTTTGCATGCTGGGTTTTTAAAGTCAACAGTGCTGTGTGATGATGCAAAACAGAAAACAGGATTTACCAAAAATCCTTGATGCGTAAACAAAAGCTTTTTTTTTTTTTAATGCACATGTGTATTTTGAACTGATATTATGGAAAAAAATAGTTTGTTGTCCCACCAGATTCCCTTATTGAACAATATTGGCATTAAATAAAAGAGCTGAATCATAGGGTGACTTCTTTATTTCTTCTTACTGGCTCTGGTTGTATGTGATCATGTGTCAACAGAGCATTCATTGGGTTAGTCATTTCTGGACCAGTGTAGGGTCACTTGGGATTCACAGGGCTAGGATTATACCCTCTCTTCACAGCAATGCCAATTGTAGGCCTTATACAGATGAGAGCACTGAGTGAGAAATAAAGTGCATGGTGGATGAAAGGCTTAACTGAATCGCTTTCAGCCCATTGTTAGTCCAGGGGAGCTTAGCGGGGATGAGAGGGCAGCAGCCCGCTTTGAAATTTGCTTGAACAAGTGAATAGGAGCTCCCCATAAAGCAGTGCGTGAAAGGAGCCTGCCTGTTTTTTCCTGCCGTAACAATAGCCCGCGCAGGCTGTGAGAGTTTGGGGAAGCTTGGCTGATTAAACTGCCCGCAGCTCCAGGTTGGGGGGCGGTGGGGAGGGCTGGGGGGAGAGTGGGACGGCGGAGGTTGGAGGAATATTTCCTGCTGCAGAACCGGTCCCCCGGGCATCCCCGGAGCCGCGCTCCGTCCGCCGGGCCGGGAGCAGGCAGGCACGCCGGGATGTTGGGTGTTTTTGGAAGCAGGAGAGGTAAATTGGCAGTTTTGGAGGCTGGGCTTAAAGTTAAGGCGGATGTAAAACTTCCTTCGCAGAGGCGACGGGCTGCTGCCAAGATTGCAGTAAAACATGTGGGATTCGCAGCCTCTCCTGGCACCTGGCTCTGCTGGTTGCTGAAGATGCTGTAAGGGTGTTTGGGACACACACCCGCCGTGCTTTCACAGGCTGAGCCCAGGTGCTCTTCTGCCTGCGAGGTTTTACCCCCCTTTAACAGAGGACCTGGGTTTATTCTGTTTCGTCAGTGCGAATGCAAATTAGTTCTTTTGGCTTATATTGGTATCAACTGAAGAGGAAAAACTTGTTCTGGAAAAGTCTGTCAGACATAGCAGTAAAGTGAGGTGGTTTTTTTTTTTAATAAATCTGAATCTGAACTGTACTGGAATTAGGAGAAGTCTCCAAATAATGAACAATCTGCCTTTTTTTTTTTTTATTATAGATGGCAGGGATCAGTCTGTCCCTATGTATTTTGTAATAGCCACAAAGCATCATGCAAATTTATATTTCCATTTCTTGATTGGGGGGGAGAGGAAAGGGGATTTTTTTTTTTTTATTTGCTTATATCTTATTTATGGATTTACTTTGGACACAGGGGAATGCTGCTGAGCAAACTTCAAATATTACCTTATCTTACAAACCAGGCTTTTGATGTTGGCAAGATCAGAGGCTTGTTTCAGAGCCGTTGCCAAATGAAGATGGGAGTGAATGCATATGCGCATGAGTCTGATATTTCAAAGCAGCAGTAAAACTACATTCAGGTTAGGTCAGGCACATCTGAGTCAAAAGGCTAAGATAATTGGCTCAGCTTAAATGGCAGCTGACTGGGTAGAAGACTTCAAACTAGTGTTTCCCCCAGAAACAGATTGGCTTAGCCCCAGCCTGGTTAGCTGAAATGTTTATAATTAAACTCTACTGTTTAGTGCCTAAACTCTGTAGCTCTTCAGCCCGCAGCTTTTAGTAGCCAAGAAAGTGAGTGCAAATAAATGTTTGCTGCTGGAGGAGGGGGAGAGGTGGCACCTGGAGAGCTGGGGGTAACCCTTGTCCTGCCCCGAAACCTCTGGCCAAGCTCAGCCTTTTCATTTCAAAGGCACTTTCTCCTGGTCTGGGGGGTCTGCTTCAGCATCAGGGTTCCCCCTGCCCCCCATATCTCTTGCTGTACTGAGCCTGGCTCCAGCTCCATCCGTCTGTCCCTCCTGCAGTCGGGGATCACCCATTGGTCACCCCTTCAACCCTGGCGTTGTCCGTTTTCCCCCTGTTTTATAGGGAAGGCCTAGGTTTAGACAGCACTCATCGAAGTGGCTGTAAAAGTCCCTCCCCATTCCCCAGGCTGACTTTCCCGGGCTGCTCCGCAGCCTTCCCATCCCAGTGAAATACCTCTTTTTTTTTCTCTTTTTTTTTTTTTTTAAATCTTCTTTTAATTCTGCATGTTGTTACGAGTTGTAAAGCTCTTCTGACAAGGCAGGGCTGTAGAAGCAGGGAGCAGGAGATTTGCTGTGGGGCTCTCTGGTGCAACCGGAGGAGTTTTAGGGGGAAGGAGCAGCCTTTGTACTGACCTGAATGAGGGCACATCTTAAATAAAGTGAGGAGCCATGCTGTTGGGTCAGCGTTGCTTTTCCTCCTCCTTTTGGAGCCACCCTGCCTGGGAACGGTGTGAATCCCCGCTCCTGCTCCACAGCCTGTCCCAGGACTGTCCCTTTGGGCAGAGGACAGTCCAGCGGAGCTGGGAGTATGGGGACACCCCACAAGGAGATGTACTCCCAACTCGGCGGCCGCAGCAGAGGGGTTGGGGATGGCATCTCGTGCTTGCGGACCTGGAGGGAGGTGGGGAGTGCAGGAGGGCTGCAGGGCTCACCGTTGTCCCTTGGTCCTGTCCTCGGGTGCCTCGTGTTGAATGCACAGACCTTCAGCTGCTTCCCTGCTCTTCCCCATCTGGCCTCTTGGACTGCCATTTATAGAGGACACCTCCTCTTTCATTGAGTATCTTGATGGCATTAGTCCCATATGTATGTATGCATGTAACATGCTCATGCTGGCATTTTTACTTACCTTTAAAATGCCTATTTTACTGGTTATTCCCTGTATTGAAGGTCTCCCTAAGAGACCCTTATGTCAGTAAGCCTCAGTTAGCAAATGCTTCTCTGAAGGTACAGGTGATTTGGTTTTCACCTTAGGTTTGCTTTTCTCCCATCCTCCCCCAAAGCTAAGGCGTGTCATGTGCCTCAAGCCCTGTTGCCCCATGGGTTCGTGGAGCAGAAACGCTTGGTGGCTGCGGTCGGTGGCCATGACCGTCTGTGATGGCTGGTGTGTGCTGAGCTGCTTCCCCAGAAAGCGCTCCAGAGCCCCGTGTTGTGCAATGGGGACATTAGGACAATTAGCTGCTTTCACTTGTAATGTAACGTGCATTCATGGACCGTGTCTAGAGGAGGCTGATGTTCATCTTGTGGCATCAATGACTTTCTCTGTGGTCCCAGCGTGCTCTCTATTATAAAGATTTTTCCAAGTTTATTAAGGTGAAATTGTTCCGATCTCTCACTCCAGGCTTTGCAGCTTAATCTTGCTCATTAAAACAATTTAACGGCAAGTGAATGCTTTGGCCAAGATCTTCACAAAGGCCTGCGATAGCGTGCTTCAAACCTTGAGCGTGGAGTGATGGCATCTAATAATGCTCCTCAAGAGAAGAGACCTGGTGTCTCCAGGAGGACATTCCCTTGCGCCTTGTCTCTGGCTGCGTGTCCAAAACATGTCGGTGTGTGCCCACCACTGCCGTGGCCGCGGGAGGTGGCACGCAGGGACGCCATGCCATGTCGGCTCCTGTGGCAGCAGTGCGGGGCCGCTGCTGCCTG